TGCAACCCCAAAATCCGCATAGGATGTGCCACAGAGCAACACGAGCCACCGGCAGACCGGGATGTGCGTACGGAACTCTGCGTGCTGTCATTCTGACCTGTGTTGTGTGTGTGCCCGAAATCTCGCTATCGCTATTGCTGTAGGCAGTAAGATATCATTGAATGCCCTCTTGCGCTGTATGCGGCTGGTGCTGGCAGAGAGAGTCAAATTGCACTCTCACTCTCTCTACCGTTGCCTCCTTTGAGTACATCACGTCCTCGCAGAAGGAGCCGACGGCATTCCTCGCACTCTCGCTCCGTGCCAAAGACTGAAAGATACAAAGAAGAAACTACTCGCAGCACTAACTGCTGCAATAAGACTGCTTAGCCTGATTATGGTATTCCGTCACTGATCACTCACAAACTGATTTGATTTGACAGATGTAAATTACATTAAATTTTTCATTCATTTTTGTTGCTGAATGAATTGCAACAAGCAGTAGTTCTTTAGGAGTGTTAAGTGAGTCCGTGTGGTGACGGATTAAGAATACGGTGTGTCGACACCCCTATTCATCCCGTGTGAGTCTTAGAGGCGACTAAGGGAGCAAACTATGCAAGACAACAACACTGCAAAGAGAAGGAACACTTGACACAAACCCTATACCAACCCGTCTGGCCAGCGTGATATATTAGGCCAAAACCTCCTTTCTAAGGAGAGGCAAGCAACCAGCAGTGGACTATTAAAGGCTGTTGTTGATGATAATGATGAACTGAGTAGGTTAGCACATTGCGTAGTTAAGCAATCCTAACCTCTATTGAGACTCCTCCGTGCCTCGGATAACATGTTAAGCCGTCGGTCCCAGTTGTCTTACGAACATCTATGGCCATCGTTACGGGTAGTTGGTGCGCTAAAAAGTCCTACAACAGTCCATCTACAGAATTTCGGTATCGCCTTGTGCTCAAGCACAAGGCGATACCGAAATTCTGTAGTTGTGGAGGTCTAATCTATAAAAATAAATAAAATTATAGTGTCTGTTTGTAATATTAAAATAAGCGCTGTTTACTAAATGCATAAGTATGTTTACACGGTACATATGCCAAAATAACATTTTTTTCAATTTTTGTCTGTCTGTCTGTCTGTCTGTCTGTTTGTTCCAAGTAATCTCTGGAACGGCTGGACCGATTTCGACGGGACTTTCACGGGCAGATAGCTGATGACATAAAGAGTAACTTAGGCCACTTTTTTTAGACTAGCTTCGCCCCGCGGCGTTGCCCGCGGTTATAACAACAAACGCGGGTAACACCGCGGGTCTCAGCTAGTAATTGAATAAAATTGAATAAAAAATCAAAGTCCAGTCGTGTCGTAGTAGACTGAAAGCAGACCCTAACCTAGTTTGTGAAAGGGCTCGGAGGATGATGGTAGGTCTTTAAAATATTTACTGTTTCCTCAGATGTAGTACTAAATACCTTTAGTATTGTTAAAATATTTTATAAGATGAAAGTGTATAAGTAGGCCAGGCCAAGTACTCGATATGTTAAGCACATTCCTCATAAAGGTAATAAAATGAATGAGCACACCGCTATTGTACATGGGTATTTTCTTACAAACAATTTTTGTACCTAATAAAATTTTGTAGGCTATACTCTATTCTATGAAATATAGCATATTTAAATAGTTTTTGTGTACAGCAAACCAACTTGATTTTTTTATGATAAATGGTCACATGTGAAAATTTTGGAAGGTGCTCGGGTGTAGACCCTAGGGAGGAAGTCTCCGAGAAAAAGAAGTAGGTACGTATTTGTATAATATCGATAGCCTCTTACTTCTAATAATTCTAATTCTTTATATTTACGAAATTGTTTAGGTTATTTTTTTGTATATGAAGCCATGTGCTTGTATCTGTATCCGCAACAGTTCCGACAACAATAAAATTATGGTATTGAGTTTATTTACATGGGTACATAATCTATATCATCACACTAATACTTATTAAAAATGCGAAAGTTAGTGAGTGTGAGTTTGCATGTTTGTTACTTTTTCACCCTCAAACAGCTGGACCAATTTTGATAAAATTGGATGTGAAGGTAGCTGACAAGCTGGATGAGCAAGGAATTGAAATATATTTGATTTGAACCGCGTATAACACACACACGCACAATCTTGATTTTATAAAGGGCGGTACAAAATCGCATGGTCATAATTTAGGGCTGAGGATCATATAGTAGACCCTATGAATAACGTAAAATGCTAACAATTTTAGAAAAGTTCGTGATTTATGATATAGAAATCGTATGTTGAAAATGGGACTTTGAGTTAATATATTTTCTTAGTAACATTTCGTATAACAAAAGGTATTACAATATATGTACTTATTTTTATTTATAAAACACGACTCCCAAATTAGGAATATATCATGTGTCGCGGGGGCGGGGGACTTTACAAACATACATAAAACGCACACAAATAACACCCATGAATAAATGAATGTTTATTTTATCGAAAAAAATCATACACATTTGTGGTTGCTAAATGTTTTTGGAGCTGAAGGCAATTTGTGTTCGATAGTAGCATCTGTTGTTGAATTAGGCTAGGAACCAGTACTTCAGCTAACAACTCCTCCACCTTGGTCTCTAGGCACACTTACTATGGAAAGAAAATTTTCTTAAACTAATATTTTGTACATGTATATCTCTCCCTGGGCGCCTGGATGCGTGTGTACCTGTGAATAAACGAAACTATCTTATTGCGATGTTGATCGAATGTCCAAAATTTTCTAAAAATATCTGTGTAAAACAAATCAAAATAATATTAATCAAGGAAAATCTGTCACCAGCAGTGGACACCTAACAGAGGTAGAAAATATTTTATGGTAGTTCCAATAAGTTTAATATAATCGTTCAATAACTCTTTTATTGTATTAAACCCCCTACTAAATATTGTAGACTTTCAGATGACATTTAATATTTTAATACCTTTTTCATTTATATGTGTGTGTTGATCCATAGATCGAAAATCTACCCAGTAATTTATTAAATTTTAAATACCAATAAAGCACTCGTTCTTTCTGGTAGTGCGATGGGTGGGTTTATGTGAATTCCAATTATTTTTAAACGATTTCATCAAAAAGAAGAACTGTCAATGAGGTTGTAGGTATTTTTTTATATGTTAATGTTGTTTAGGGAAAATCTTTTCTTGATTTGGGACCATCCCATTCAAATTTGAAGGAAATACACCAACCCTCATGCTGGGAAACAAGGAACAAGGCATACAGTTCGGTACTAGGTGCATTGAAGTGGGTGATATATCTTTTTAAATTAATTTTAGTATTTATTGAGCACCAAGACTTTGTTACTTGCCTATAGCTTAAATCAGTTGATACTAAGGAGAATAATCTACTAAAATTAATCTTTTTGTTACCTATTTATATAACGACTACCTGACCTGCGCAACTTCGTCTGCGGCTTTCAAAAAGTAATACATTTTCCCCATTTTCGCAACATTTCTCATTGATACTTGGCTCCTATTGATAGTAGCGTGATGCTATATATAGCCTTCATAGATAAATGCGCTGTCCAACACTGAAATATTTTTTCATTTCGCCCAGAAGTTCCTGAGATTAGCTCGTTCATTCAAACAAACAAACTTTTTACTATTAGTAAAGGCTATATTGTTTATATTTACAAACAAAAATGTCCAGCAGTTATATCATAACATATATTTGAGACATTTCTTTCAAAGTCACATACGCGTATCGTTTCCATGTCATAAATTTACACAATGCGGCACATTTGTCTCATCGACCATGGGCGGCCATAATTATAAAGCGATTATACAACGGATGTCCATAGACAATGCGCGCAAAGTCATTGGTTAAGTGACTAATTTGTGTGTTTTGCATTAAATCATTTGTTTTAGAAGTCCTAGTTCTCACGGCGTTTATGGGTTTTTGTTAGTGTGAGCTTTTGGAGCAAGAATTTGGATCATGCTGATTACCCGATATCAGATACACATTACAATTTATTTGTAATGCATGATAACGCCTTTTAAGCACGTCTAATTTCATCAACAGTACATATAATCAATATAAATCACATATCAACGCAAAAATATTAAAAATAAATAATAGTTTAACAAACTAAAAAAAACGCTTTTGTAAAAAGTGGAAAATAATTTTATTTAACTTAAAAAAAAAGAAAAAAAAATATCGTAAAGAAATGTGGGCTAGATGTAAATTTTTGTAAATATTTTATTGACAGATATTGTAGTCATTATATTATCAAATATCTTAAAATGCACCCCGTTCTTTTAAATAAAATGTTTTTTTTTTATCAGTCTCTCTCTCTCTCTTCTAGCTCTCGCTATTTATTATTGTATTTTCATTTATCAAAAAAATAATTTTGTTCAGTAAATGACAATGTGTATTCACATCGTCACTTACTGAATATTAAAATGAAGCTTTGAAGGGCATTTTCACTAGAGAGCGTTAATGGATAGGTATGATAAAATCTGACATAACGAAACATACCAAAGTATTCAGTCATCACATGCATTATATCACGTCAGAACAATGGCAAATTAGGTTAGAACCTTGATTTTGGACATTTTAGCTTTGTTACAACTGCATGTAAACCATACCATTGTTTTTAAAGGTCAGATGTATTTAGGGCAATTTAATGGGCCTGTAATATATGTATATATCTGCAAAACTAAGCCGTCGTGGGACGTCTGGCAGATGTAAAACATCGAATTTATTTAATAGAAATAATGAGTATAAAGGCTTATGAAAGGAAATAATAAATATAGCACAATGAAAAATATAAATTACGTGTGGCGACGCATGACGCGTAGCCACGCCAGCAGCTGCTCTGACCCTCGCTTTAGATGTATCACATCAAAATTAGTTGTTGTTAGCATTAGAGTTGTGATAAAACGGCCTTAGCAACCACAAACAACAAGAAATACCTTCTACCTAATGTTGCATTACCGATCATGCAAAGTATCTGTATTTACTTTGAGAACTCATGAGTCATTGGACTTCTGCACATCACGCTGGTTATAGGTAAATGGGAGACGAATGCTTGCGTCTGGCACCTCCATACAGCGAACCAAACTCGGATGCTTGAAAAGGTTCCCAAAAACCTTCCTCCGATACCTATTAGGGGTTTTAGGTTTTAATTCATTGGTTGTAATGAGAAGTCTCGATTGGCTTTTGGTAGCTTAAGGGGAATCGTGTATCCTGAACTCCACAATCTATTCTATCGTCTATATATGCCTTATAACTGCCATGCCTATCGTCAAAGCCTTCGACGCAAATTGGTCGCGCAGTCGGTGTGTCACACAGTCGCCAGAGCAGAGTCTCCTGTGTGTCGTACCCTAGGTAGACAAGCTCAATACTCCCTTGATCAACAACCCTGAGTGTGATTTATTTGTAGACGAATGGGGTGAAATTGTGAGAGTATGTTCAATATTTTGCGAGAGAATGTTACATACATTCAAAGTTCAATGTACCTTATTAGTTCTCAATTATATTATAATTAAATATATTGTTATTAATTTTATTTTGTGTTCCATTTCTTCTATTATGTTCTTTCTTTGTAATTTTTTTTTATCGTTTGTTTGTTTATTAATTTAATTAAAAATAAATAAATAAAATAAATTGATTCTTTATAAAGATCAAAGACATCGTAATCTTGGGAATATCGTGAAAGTGGTATTTCTTTAACAAATAGATACGAGTAGTTTTATTAACAAGATTTAATAAAGTAAAAGAAGACATCATACATAAATAAACTTATTTATTCATATATATGAATAAACAAAAATTATCTAATAAGGATCAGTCAATATTACGACACGCTAATTGTGCGAACTTGAATTGTTTTATAATTTTTTTGTCCAACATCTAGTTCCGCGTCTACAACGATAATTGTGAAAAAGTCCATGCGATTATACAAATGTAAATATGACTATGTACGGGTTTATTTACCAGTCAAGGTTGTCAATATCCTTGAAAATAAACATTCCTGAAACGAATCTTAATTTTTTATAAAAGATAGAACTAAAGATCAAAGGTCTGTGCTCGGTAAAAAGAAGTTGTAATTATATCTGTAGATTATAGACAATTATAAACGTTAGAAAAAAACAGATTAATATCTTTGAAAATATTCTTGCATGAAATTCTACATGGGTAATATATATAGGTTAGTAATGATTCCGTGTGGTGCCGGATTAAGAATACGGAATGTCACCGCCCTATTCATCCCGTGGGTGTCGTAAGAGCCGACTAAGGAGCAAACTACGCAGGACATCACTGCAAAAAGAAGTAAAACTTGATACAAACCCTTTACTAACCCGTCGGCCAGAGTGGTATAGTAGGTTAAAACCTCCTTTCAAAGAAGCGGCCTACGTCCAGCCGTGGACTATTAAAGGCTGTTGTTGTAAAGTGTGTGTGTGTGTATGTGTGTGATGTGAAAATATTTTTTACCAAATGATTAAATTGAGAAATTTACAGCAAAACATTTATGTCTGTTTCGACACCGCTAGTTAAATCGATAAAAGAAAAATAAATTAATTCATAATAAAAACTCTTCCCTTGTGCAATAGAGAAAGGGACTATTACGATCGGGATGATTATTATAGAGAAAGAAGACCGGCTTATGATAGATATTCTGGGGGTTATGATGATGGGTACAGCAGATATGACGGTTATGGATATCCGGGGTATAGAAGACCGAGTTATCCTGATAGAGGGTATGATGAAGGCTATGGAGGTTACGGACCGGGCGTAGGCAGAGGACCTCATGACAGGTAAGAGAAAATTATTTGTAAGGGTGCCCTACTTTGATGAAATGTTCGTTATGTTCATTAGATAATATATTGATTGATTCATTGGTTATATCGTTATCCTATATGTATATTGAGGTATAAAACAAGTTTTGGAAAAATATCAAATTGAAGATTTTAGTTTATTTTTCTAAAATTATAGCAATATAAATCCAATCCGATTTAACGCATTATTTTTAAATTGCGTTACATTTAAAAAAATCATCGTTACATTTAAATATATCTAATCCTAATGGCATTATTGGCGAGCTGTTGAAAAAGGTATTGATTTGTGTTCCACGCACAGACAGTTGATTTTTGAATAGGGAAATATTTATTGTGCCTCACACAGCCGGACTGATATGGATCGGGGTTCTGCAATATCTCGAATGATTACTCTGACCAACTCAACAACAACTACAATATTTGGTATCTAACATAGTTTGTCAATATCCTTGAAAATAAACATTCCTGAAACGAATCTTAATTTTTTATAAAAGATAGAACTAAAGATCAAAGGTCTGTGCTCTTTAAAAAGAAGTTTTAATTATATCTGTAAATTATAGACAATTATAAACGTTACAAAAAACAGATTAATTACTTTGAAAATATTCTTGCATGAAATTCTACATGGGTAATATATATAGGTTAGTAATGATTCCGTGTGGTGCCGGATTAAGAATACGGAATGTCACCGCCCTATTCATCCCGTGGGTGTCGTAAGAGCCGACTAAGGAGCAAACTACGCAGGACATCACTGCAAAAAGAAGTAAAACTTGATACAAACCCTTTACTAACCCGTCGGCCAGAGTGGTATAGTAGGTTAAAACCTCCTTTCAAAGAAGCGGCCTATGTCCAGCCGTGGACTATTAAAGGCTGTTGTTGTAAAGTGTGTGTGTGTGTGTGTGTGTGTGTGTGTATGTGTGTGATGTGAAAATATTTTTTACCAAATGATTAAATTGAGAAATTTACAGCAAAACATTTATGTCTGTTTCGACACCGCTAGTTAAATCGATAAAAGAAAAATAAATTAATTCATAATAAAAACTCTTCCCTTGTGCAACACAGCACTTAAGTCGAAATATGACCACTTTCCTTTAAAGTGGTCATATTTCGACCACTTTAAATGTATTATTTATATCCAGTTTATACAACTTGATCTGTCATTGTATAGACTTTTGTACCATTCAGAATATATACTGGAAAAGCATGGTTTCATTTAGCTGTTTTTATGTATATTTTAACTTTTTATATTGTTTAAAAAAATTACCTGTACTTTTTTCACTTATAAACATTGGGTATTTTAAGTATAATATGCTTCCACGTGTCATATTTGTTTAAAATTAAAGTCATGAAAAACATCAAATACATATTTCTTTTAATATTTTTTTTTACTTTGGCTTTCAGATCTTACTATCATACTGCCTCAGCTGCCTTCAATACACCTCAGCGGAAGAACAACAGCAGTCGAAAGATACGATTTTAACCGCAGTTCTAACGCCCAACAATGGGAAAGATAAACTAACACGACAAAGTAGAAGTTACTATGACTACAGATATGGTGTACCCAGGCCTTTATTTGATAGACTAGACTATGCTCGACTAGAATACGATAGACCACGGTGTGGTAGATGCGATGATAGATATGACAGAGGCAGGGATGACAGAGATGACGATTATGATCGTAGAGACAGACATGACGATGATCGAAGAGGGAATAGACCAACACAAGGAAATAGACATGATAACAAAAAGAATTATGACCGGGATAGAGATACTGATGAAGACAGATATTCTGATAGAAAAGGAAAAAATAATAGTACGGAGGACGACACTGGCGATAAAAACTCTTACGATGATAAGGACAACAAAGCGAGTGGCAGTAGACGTGAAAGCGACCGTGATAGAGATCGTGACAGGGACGGTGGAAGAAGAAGAGGAGGAGACAGAGATAGAGATAGATACGATGACAGAGACCGATATAGACCTGACTACTACGATAGATTCCTAAGAGATCCATATAGAGAAAGGGACTATTACGATCGGGATGATTATTATAGAGAAAGAAGACCGGCTTATGATAGATATTCTGGGGGTTATGATGATGGGTACAGCAGATATGACGGTTATGGATATCCGGGGTATAGAAGACCGAGTTATCCTGATAGAGGGTATGATGAAGGCTATGGAGGTTACGGACCGGGCGTAGGCAGAGGACCTCATGACAGGTAAGAGAAAATTATTTGTAAGGGTGCCCTACTTTGATGAAATGTTCGTTATGTTCATTAGATAATATATTGATTGATTCATTGGTTATATCGTTATCCTATATGTATATTGAGGTATAAAACAAGTTTTGGAAAAATATCAAATTGAAGATTTTAGTTTATTTTTCTAAAATTATAGCAATATAAATCCAATCCGATTTAACGCATTATTTTTAAATTGCGTTACATTTAAAAAAATCATCGTTACATTTAAATATATCTAATCCTAATGGCATTATTGGCGAGCTGTTGAAAAAGGTATTGATTTGTGTTCCACGCACAGACAGTTGATTTTTGAATAGGGAAATATTTATTGTGCCTCACACAGCCGGACTGATATGGATCGGGGTTCTGCAATATCTCGAATGATTACTCTGACCAACTCAACAACAACTACAATATTTGGTATCTAACATAGTTTAGAGTATATCTTATTTAAAGTAAGTTTTATGCCTCATATAGGCATAAAACTTACTTTAAATAAGAATTGAGATGATGGATTCACATGTAGTAGATATCTCTCTCTATCAACCAAACACGTTTTATTTGTTGTTTTCTTTTTTTATTGTTTACTAGCTGAGACCCGTGGTGTTACCCGCGTTTGTTGTTATAACCGCGGGCAACGCCGCGGGGCGAAGCTAGTCTAAAAAAAGTAGCCTAAGTTACTCCTTATGTCATCAGCTATCTGCCAGTGAAAGTCCCGTCGAAATCGGTCCAGCCGTTCCAGAGATTACCCGGAACAAACAGACAGGCAGTCAGACAGACAGACAAAAATTGTAAAAAATGTTATTTTGGCATAATTATGTACCGTGTAAACATACATAATATATGCATTTAGTAAAAAGCGGTTATTTTAATATTACAAACAGACACTTCAATTTTATTTATTTGTATAGATCAGTTTTGTGCAATATACAATCCAAATTCTTTAACTTGAGCTTCTCTATCTGAGTTCTCTTAAATCAAATCATCAAATAGAGTTGTTTGTTTGGTTTGTTTGAGCGAATAGAGTTGTTCGGTTGTCACCAGTTGGCGCAACAGTAGTGAGGCGGCATTAGCTAGGTTATTAACAATTGTAATGTAATAAGTACAAGTACATATAACAGTGTCACAGAGTTCGTTCACACATGACGACAACAATACATTGACCGTTAATTCAAATTATATCGAACGTATTCACGCTTTCACCTAAAAATTTAAAATGGCAATTCGAATCAGGACATAACGGTTAACAAAATTGCAAACGTGGTTTCAATTTCCGCTAATGTCATGGCGGATGGGATATATTCTGTTTTTATCATTATGAATATAAAGTATGTTACTTAGCAGACAAATACAAGACCGCCTTAGTGCCGCGGCTTTATCACAAAAAACCTGCATATTAAAACCTTAAGATTTTACAGTAACATTTGACAGGCTTGTTAACAGAATCAACGATTTAAACAAAGGGTCTAATCATGCTTTCAGCCAATCAACAAGTGGTTTGACAAACTTTTGTTAACTATTATGTTAATCAGACTTCCGAAGATCAGGCGTTAACAGCTAAAATGTTTATGTTGCTGATCTAATTTCTGAAGTTTTAAAAGTGTGTGCAAGTGTAAAGTCAAAAGGCTTTTTCAAGCTTTGTCAGAACATTTCAATACACTATTTTACCTAAGGTCAGGGCAAAATATTTAAAAATGATCTCTACACAATGAAGTAAAATGAGTTGTAAATATATAAATAATTCAAATTTAATGAAAATAAAAAAAAATTCGTTACACAGTGGATAAAACAGAATGAACGCCTTAAAAGCATCAAGTATCTTCCTCTCTTGAGCAGTCACACCAAAAACTTTTATTTTAAAATATATTATCCCAAGTGAGTATAGTGCAGTTTTCAGAAAATTAAAGAGAGAAAATACAGTTATATTTCCTCATCGAATATTTCTGTTTGGTGGTGTCCCTGAATTTCATAACTTGTTAAATTAAAGAATTTACCCAAACATCTAAGTTGGAGATATTCAAGAGATTCCTTTCCAAGTCCTATGAATCAAAAGAATTTTATATTATAGATAAAGATTCTTTAAAGAGTACTTCTTCAGACAATTGTAATAAGTTTAAGGGAGAGAAAACATAGAATTGATCTACTTGCGTAATCCTATTGAAGAAGCAAAAAAAACATTGTGTATGTTCTTATGAGGCATATTTTGACTTGAGTTTTTTGCTAACACTGCGGAAGTTAAATTAGTTAATAATCAAACTAGCATTACAAGCCAAATAGTATTTTTTTTGCAGTAATAACCCTGCTCACATTGTTAAAGATAATGTCGGCGCATTATAACTCCAATACAATTATCCAATTTACAGAACAATCACATGTTTCGCACCTCAGAACGTAATTGTACAAAGGATACTGTTATAGAACCACATTCATTGAATGAATGAGATTTTTCGAATACCAGTCATCTCATTCGTGGCTGTCAAAATGTTGAATGGTTAATTGTAAGGCTCGCGTAAGTAAGTAAAGAAGATTATTCTTAAGTTCGACAAATTTGTTGATAATCTTTCGAGCGTTTAGCCATCCGCCGGTCAGCTTTTTCATCCTAGATTGGGATAGACTTATAGTCGTAATAAAAGCTTTTTATCGTTTAGGTGAATAAGGGTTTTACAGTGTATAAGAAACATGTAATTTAGAGCCTTGACAAAGGGCGGAATTAATGCTTAAGGTGAGGTTTGATATCTAAATATATCCGTCTGTCATGACTTCAAAAGTGCTCGCAAAAGTTCTCACGAACTTCGGTGTTATTTTTACATAAACCATTTCGAGCTATTTTCAGACCTCAGAATGATAATTTAAAATGACTTGATTTCCAAACTCCAACTTTAATAGTTAACGAGATATAAACGACTTAAAATAATGAAATTTACTTCTTCTACTTTAGACAAACAAAAGTGTCTGAAATAAAGTCAAAAACATAAATGTTTGCTAGGCCAAGTTCCTTGTCACTAAATAAAGACACCAAGTCAGAGTGTAGCGTCAACTTTAATCCTGTTACCATGTAAATCTTTTGAATGGCTTAATATGTCGATATTGATGAAATATTTTTAAGTTTAGCTATGAAAATAGTTTTACAGGTTAGTGTTTATGTGGTTAATTCGACAAGGAAACAGCGTAATTATCTGATATATTACATTATATCTACGTCATTTACGTTCACTCTTAATTCAGGAAGTTGTACATTATGCATATTTTTTCTATTGCCATATTGTTTTACCGTTGGCTGATCACGGCAGGCGGTTACTGACCGATCGTTTCCTTCATTTTTCATTTTGAAACGGAGGTCGGGTCATTTTTTTATTAATTAGCATATTGAATAATATTATTAGTAAACAAGACCATTGTTTACATTTCAACGGAAGCACTCAGTCAGTCAGTATCATCATCATCATCCTTTGATAGTCCACTGCTGGATATAGGCCAGAGTGGTATAGTAGGCCATTATCTTCTTACTACGAAGTAAGAAGATTTTGGCCTACTATACCACGCTGGCCAAGAGACCCCTTATAGGAATCTGAAAAGGTTAGCAGGAATTGTAGGAACAGTAGGAGGAGGAATAATAAAAAGACGACCTGAGAAAGGTAGCTGGGGGAGATTGGATGGAAAAGGCGGAGGACCAAGGGCTATTGTGCACCTTGGTAGAGGCCTATGTTCAGCAGTCGACTGCAATAAGCTAATTGATTGATTGAATATATTTGGTAAAATGAGCAATTGATAAGAAAATAAATTATATACACTAATTAGTAAAGATTGACCCTTAGTTCTAAGTCCCGCTTTAAATGATCAAATAGGAATAGTAACTTTTCTAATTATATTTACATAAAATGACTTTAGGCAATTATTGTTCTTACTATTTTATAACTCAGTATACGTATACGCTCAATTTTTTTAGAAGTTAGGGTCAGAAGTAGCAATAAATGTATTCTAGACTGAGTAGTTCCCTTTAATATAAAATATTCCCAAAGCATAACATGTTAGTTTCAGGCCCTGGGACGAGACGTATCGAGGTCAGGCCGGGTGGGATGATGGAGGCAGAGGATACTACTTTGCATCAGGCCGTCCTAACGCTGCTCCAGCCCCAGTGTGGGGGCGACCTGAGTACTCCAGGTTATTAAACCTGTTCTGGTCTCGTTTACAATAATGATAGTAAACAATTACCTCTAAACTTAACCATTTACACAATTCTATACCATCAACCTAATACAGTTATAGCCTCTATAAGAATTTAGGGAAGAAACACTTGATAGACGGCGACATGGTCGACTTGTGACACAATTTCATTCAAACAACTAACGACATTTATTGCAATAAAATGAAACTTACAAACATAAATGTCGTCATCATCACCTGGTTACCCTTTGCCCAAATTTATTTAGGATCAGCGTTATGAGCCTTCTTCTTACAGTCTTCTTGATTACTCGAAAACCTCTTTGACGAACTCCTTCATTTAATTGCAAAATGTTCGTGACCTTTTTTTATTGCTGGTCTCGTGCCTGACGTCAACTTATATAAACGTGAAACTATTAATTTACTCGACAATAGTATTAATAGGTTTTGTAAAAAAAAAATATATCCTATTATGTCCTAACACGAATATTCGGGCCAACTTGGTGATGTTCCGTGAATGAGAATAATAATAATAATATTCTACCACATTCACACAACGCCATCTAGTCCCAAACTAAGCAGAACTTGTACTATGGGTACTGGACAACTGATATAAATACATATATACTTTTTCTTTTTAAATACATACATATTATACATAGAAATACCAAATCAAACATTAAAAGTTCATGCACACAAATGTTTGACTTGGGCGGGAATCGAACCCGCGACCTTTGGAATAGCCGTCCGTTACACAAACCACTACGCCATCCGGAAGTTGAATACTCTACATACTCGTACAAACATAGAATTAGTGATATTGTTTTACAACTAAGATCTTAAAAAGTACTAGTAGTCAATAGATCAGGCGATTATATGCTTTTCTTTTACAAGAAAAAAGAAAGCTTACAAAAAAAGCCAATTGAATTAATTTGCTTTAGTTTAAATTTCCGTTTCGTTTCAGGCCACAGGAAAACCTAGGTTATTCAAGCGGATATGCAAGCGGATATCGAGATCCATACTCTGGGTACGGACAAGTCAGCTCAGGTTATGGACCAAGCGGATACGGTAGTACAAACGGTGGAAGCGCCGGGGGATATGCCCAAAGCGGTTATGCCCAGGGTAGTGGGGGGTACGGCCAAAATGTGGGATATGGAGGCAGCAGTGCTTATGGAGGAGGGTATGGACAGAGTAGTGGATGGCAAAGTGTTGGAGAACGAAGACCTTATAGAGATGAAAGGTAAGATATTATCTAACCCTATTTCGTACATATTGGCTCGCTGGCCTCACCGTAAACCGGTATTAAACTATTCCGGTAAACGGTATTTCACTGAGTGAGTGAAGTTACCTCCTAATTCTTAGGGAGACACTCAAGGACCTGTGAAATACTTGTAACTCTCGAGAGCAGCTCTTCTTAGGCGCCGGTAGTCAATTACCATCAGGTGTTTTGCTCGTTTGTCCAATATCCCCACATACCATAAAAAATGGGTGGAAAACACTATATAGGAATAAAAATTCGTAATAAAAACTAAAGGGAAAATACATTAAACAGTTGAAGATACATTTTTTAAAATACATTTGTTAAAGTCTCAGAAAACGGTGTATTTTTCTTGAATAAGCCAATTTCATCACATCATCATCACATCATCAGCCTTTAATAGTCCACTGCTGGACATAGGCCTCTCCTTAGAAAGGAGGTTTTGGCCTACTATACCACGCTGGCCAGACGGGTTGGTATAGGGTTTGTGTCAAGTTTTCCTCCTTTTTGCAGTGCTGGTGTCCTGCGTTGTTTTGCGCCCTTAGTCGGCTCTTACGACACCCACGGGATGAATTGGGGTAGTGACATTCCGTATTCTTAATCCGTCACTACACAGAGAAAGCCAATTTGAACTAACATTTATTGCATAAACCTAAACCATTATTTATTAAAGCAATCTCTAATATGTTATTTTCTCTGCATCCATACTTACATTTTCTCATACTCGTCTCACTCTCTTTTCCCCAGTGGCGTAAAGAACCTGGAGAACAAAGAGAAGTACAACCAATCTCGTAATCAAAACAAGTACCAATCAAGCAACTACGGCCAGAGCTCGTACCCTCAGAGCTACCAAAGCAGCAGCACGACTCCTGGCACCAGCTACCTCTTCGAAAGAGATGATGTACAGCCGACTGTTAAACTAGACGACCAGACCACTAACAGGTCTTCCTAGTTTTGTGACTTTTTTTTAATTTTGTACGTTCACTTAATTTTCGTTTGATAACCGAAAGAGATTTTCCAGAAAAAATTTGAGGCATAGGACGTGTTGGGCCAAGTTTCTTCGAAAATAAAATTCAGTCCTTATTAAATATAATATGTGGTAAAACCTTCACCACACTTTACTTTATCATCATAACATCAACAGCCTACAATAGTCCACTGCTGGACATAGGCCACTCCTTAGAAAGGAGGTTTTGGCCTACTATACCACGCTGGCCAGACGGGTTGATATAGGGTTTCTTTTAAGTTTTCCTTCTCTTTGCAGTGCTGTTGTCTTGCGTATTTATCTCCCTTGGTTGGCTCTTATGACACCCACGGGATGAATAGGGGTGGTGACATTCCGTATTCTTAATCGACACAACACTTTACTTAAACTGCTTCAATAAGAAAAATTGTAAAGAATACAAAAATATTTCTGAGTAGAAAAATATTCAAACACGTCACGTTTGTAGCTCGTGACTATAGACATGCTCCCAGTAGGAACAGCACATATCGCTATTTATAGCCAAATTAAGTATAGTATTATAGAACTAAGAAAACTTATTCAAAATAATAATAAAAGTCGAAAGTTGTAAATAAATCTCGTGTTTCCTTGAAAACCATAGAGAATGAATGTCGAAGAGAAGAAATTTCTACAACTTGATTTTGGACGAGTGAGGGCTACTTTGTACAAAAACCACGCGGATAAATATACTTATACACATTTTTTTTTCGTTAATAGTTACATGACATCATACACACCCAGGTGAATCCAAATAATTCAATAATACATGCAAACGAATAGTTGCAATCGGAATCGAACTCACGTCCTTAACATTACAATTAAAAGCTCTATCGTGCTGAGCCCCACATTCGAAGAAAACTCCTTCTGTACAGTTGTTGTCTTCTATTCATTTTCCATATCGAGTATTTCTGTCGAAAAAAAGATTTTTTTTAACTACCTACATTTTTGAAAACATTCTACTTACACCAAGCTTTCAAACAATCTTAAAAACATTTACCAATTAATGTCAGGTTGTTTTAACCTGACACCTTACGACCTGACACGAGTCTACTTAATTAGTACCATAAGTATAGTTAGCAAATACTGCGTGTGAGGCATTCCCACAATATTTTGTGACTAGTTTAAGTTGAAAATGTAAGAAATAAACGTAATTTTTAATTTGTTGTATCTTTTATTGCGAATTAATCTCTACCTGTCTAGATAGAAAGACTAATTTTAATCGACAGAGTTTGTGTGAGAATACAGTCTCAGAATAACAGAATCTGATGTTGAAGGCCTTTTGTATATTGATGTATGATTGTAATCATTTTGTGTCGTGTTGGCCTTTAACTTTAGATGTAGATCCGGATTAGCGCAAACGGGCCACCGATCACAGCGACCGGTGGCCATAGACAGCGACAAACAGTTAACATGCTTTTTCACACATTTAGAATAGTATATGCTTTATTATACAACAATTGCAGTATTTTAGTTAAATATTACAGACGGATATGTACAAAGGCGGCCTTATTGCTAATAGCAATCTCTTACAGCGAAACTTTGGATGGAGAAATCGACAGTTGATGAGAAGAAACAGTGGGTAGTCTAGGTGTATTGACATTTAGTATAGAGTCGCTGCATACCTGCCCCATTACTACCCGCAATGGTGGCTGTACCGTGATATCGCCGCTGTTGCAAAACGAAAAAAAAAAACAAGCGATAGACAAATGTGTATTATTTTGTTTAATTGGACTAAGCCCTTGAAAACGTACTGTAGCTCCTGTCAAAGATTAACAGTAGTGACCCAAGAACACACCGAGTGATTACACTAGGGAAGTCACAGGAAAAGTTAAATATCCTGAAACACGCTACTAATCAGAATTAAATTCCTTCAATTTAGTTGGAAATTTAATAAATCCACTTCCCTCTTTAGCAAAGCGGGGAGACAAAAGTGAATTAAATGGGCATACACCCCATTAAACAGGGAACCACCTCGGACACAAACATTATGAAGTGAAGTGAGTTATATTTGATTCCTTAGATATTTATATATATATGATGTGTATCATGTGACATAACCTCTCTGAAAATGGGTTGGTAACGTTTAAATATTAAATATTGTAAGTTTAAATATTGTAAATGTTTAATATTGTAAGTTTAAATATTGTGCGTTCCCCGGCTTCCTGTAACACATTTCCGTACCATTGACATCACGCCTAATATTTATAGATAAGTGAAAGGAAAGATTCAGACATGAATTTTAATTCTTTTAAAATTAGATACAGTATAATAAGAAGTCGGTATGATTAGTATCAAGTCCTTGACCTAGGGGGTTCTTCAATCACAGGACGGAGAAACGGGTTTTGATACCCAGTGCATCATTCATCAGTCCACCACCAATTCAATTTTCCTTTCCCATCCTAGACTTGTGAGGTTCCTTACCCCAGCTGCATCCCTTTGCCATATTGCGTTGAGTTGCAGACGGCCATGGGCGATGTCACTCACTTACGATCAGGTGACCCGGCTGCTCATTACCTATACTTATTCTTAATCTGTCACCACATGGAAACTGATGCTATTATGTACATATAAACATATGTATTCGTGGAAGAATCAGGTATGATCACTTTTTCTTTAGACTCTACTTATGCGCCATCTATTGTAAATCTACCAAACCAATACAATTGATGCTTCAGGAACAATCGCTATCATACAAATATTAGAGTTATTGTATAGATGGCGCTAATATACATTTATAATTTTGTTCATTTCCTTTTAGATTAATTTTGATTTTTATATTTTTTTTAAATTGTATATTCAACTTGTGATATTTCTTTAAAAAGGGGAACTTCGAACCAGATATTTGCAGATCATTTAAACATTTGGCCCGACCGAGGAATCGAACCCAAGATTTCAACATAGCAGTCGCATAAGCTACCACTGCACCACCGAGGCAGTTAATATATATACAAAACTTTGCTCAGTGAGACCAACTATAATTTGAAAAATGTGAACTAATTTAAACGAAGTTACTAACAAACTTATAATATTAAATGTTCTGTAGATTAAATCTTGGCGTTTCATACTTTCTTAATAGTTCTAATAATACTTAGAATATAAATTTATACTGAAAGTACTCGACTGCCCAGAAATCGTTGTTTTTTAAGCGGTCACCTCACTAACTTTTACTGCGCTAAGTGTTGTGGGTTCGATCCCCACATGGGACATCACTTTGTGTTCTCCACAATTCTTGTCCTTAGTCTGGGTGTTCTTTATGTCCGTTTCGTGTATGTTTGTAAAATCCCCCGCGACATAGGATCGATGCCAAGTGCGGAGTTGTCTTTTTTTTTTAAAAAGAATTGTATATTATTATTATTGATGTTTTGATCAAAACAGTTCATCGTTTAGAAGAATACCAAGAACACGAACCAATGATACTTTATCTGATAAGATCTGCTACACTAATTTTATGTTTTGTTAACCACTCCTGTAATTTATTTTCTTTGTGTTTCGAAATAAATATTTTTTCATTTTCATTTTTTCATTTTCATTTAAATGACACTTCATTTAACCAGAAAAAAAGTATTTTACTAGCTGCTTGCTATAAAGCGTGTTGTATATCGTATCAAAACTTGAGCTCAATCGGTGCAGAAATTTTTGAGTTTTTGAAGTGTACAGAAATCAACTTAATATTTATATATATATATTACATTTTTATTCGTTGGAACCCTAACTCAACAACATTAACATTTAACAGCGTTGCAATATATATTCATATAAACAAACCAATCGAAACAATCTACATGAAGTTACAAGGAGTCCGCTCTTAGGTACGTAAGCTAAGCCTTTTAGGTTGCGTAAATAGCATAAGACCAGAATCCAGTTATAACTAATCGCTGCGTTGTTTTGGATATATACAAAGAAAACCATGGTAGGAGGTCACCACGTATGCCACGGCAAGATATTTCGGTTCAACAATATCTGATGGTCTGGTTGAACGCTTTTCGGAAATTCGAAAGGTTAAGAGGATAATAAAGGGTATTTACCATCAATTTACGCCTGTTGTACATATCTAAATAATATAAATCATCATGATCATCATCAACAGCCTTTCAGTAGTACTCTGTTGGACATAGCCCTCTTCTTAGAAAGGAGGTGTTGGCCTACTATACCATCATCACATCATCACATCAACAGCCTTTAATAGTCCACTGCTGGACGTAGGCCTCTCCTTAGAAAGCAGATTTTGGCCTACTATACCACGCTGGCGAGACGGGTTGGTATAGGGTTTGTGTCAAATTTTCCTTTTTTTTGCAGTGCTGGTGTCCTGAACAAAGTATGGAGGGACAGAAATATCACAACCAAAACTAAAATACATCTCGTTCGCACACTTGTCTTCTCTATTGGTCTTTATGGTGCCGAGACATGGACCATTAAAACCGCTGTTAGGCAGAGAATTGATGCATTTGAAATGTGGTGTTGGCGCCGTATGTCAAGGATACAATGGATGCCACATCACACACATGTTTCCATACTGAAGCGACTGAAAATAGATAATGTTCAGCGTCTGTCTTCACTTGCAGGCGACGTTTTATTAAATATTTCGGACATGTTTGTCGCCGTAATGATGACATTCTGTAGCGTTTGATGGTGACCGGAGGGGTAGAAGGGAAGACCCAGAAGATGGTCAGACCAGATCGCTGTACAGCTAGAAATGCCAATAAGTATCGCACTTCACCAAGCGACTGATCGCAGCCGATGGCAGATGGCTGACAGGATGAAAGGGAATCACGACGCTCAGCAGTAAGGGCTCGACTAGGAAGAAAAAGATGATAGTGATTTAAAGACATTTTTATTTTTTAATTTATATATGTAAATATATTTGCATGTCTACCCAGATAACAAAATGTTACATCTACACATATGCGATATATGATAAATAGACAGATAATTTGTTCTTATCATAAAAAGTAAGTAGATACAGCTATTTCTATTTACGACGTACACAATAAGTATCTAAGTCAATCTCCTATCGCATAGTATTTATAAAAAATTGAATTACCTACTTATTGATTGGCAACAATTAATCGAAGATATGATAAAAACATTACTGGCCCTCGTATCTGATAACACTCGGCCACTTGGCATTGCGATCTTGTAAGGATATCTTGCCACCAAACTTATTTATTAATTCAGTTATTTTTAAAAATATCGGTTCTCGCGTCTGTTGATAAAAATAGTCAATAGATTACAGTAATTATCAAAATAGTGTCAATCGAATCAAATTCGCGAGTGTTTGTTAGTTTTGGCAACGAATCTTTTGGGCTATTAGACTAAGACGGATTTTATAATACTTAAACTTATCTGTTTTATATAATATATATATATATATATAATTCTTCATTATTATCTTTAGAATAACAATAAAACTGTTGATATTACTCAAATGTTTATAGAAACTATTACTTATTTACCAAGACAGGTTTAAAGTATTTAACGTGTAAAATCTCTTTTCGATTCCAAAAAGATCGTTGCCAAATATTAGTAAAAAATTAATTAAAATATAGGTGAACTATCTTTTGATATAAAAATGTCACAAACAGACTCAGTGAAAGTGGCGGATAAGCCCGTGATAGTAGAAAAAGTTGAGAAAAATGTACCAAAGGTGGTTGTAGAAGCTGCAGCCGAAGTTGTACAACCCCGGGAAGATGCCCAGGTCCGCGACAACACTGATCCCGCGAAGCTGATGCCGAAGTCCGAGTGAGTAATCGATATAATAATAATTACAACATAATATTTCATTTAGAACCATAAATAATAGGGTTTATTTCCACAAGTAATTTAGATATGCAGCGAATATAAGATAAATATCGCAGCTATGTAGATATCGCATTATTATGATGGCATAGTTTTTATTACTTGAAACATTCATATTATCAATATATATTTTTATCTGTGCGTCATTACAGCTAAATCGGTGAGGGGACCTTTTCCTTAAAGGTTAATTTCTACTCGTATGTTGATGTTTTAGTAAAATGAATTAATGTTCATTTTTTTCAATTTTATAAGATAAACTTGTTATGGTTTTTTCGTATCAGATTACAAAGCTACTGAAATGTACATATAATATGTACCTAATTTTCGCATATAGACTTAATAGTGTTTAAAACACTTATTAAACCCTTTTTTATCTAGTTAACGACACATTTAGGAGTAGCTCTAGTGATCCTGTGTATCTGCCTTAAAAAAAAGAAACAGCTCTACAGAAGTAGGTTTGTCTATCGAGGTTTTAGTTCAAATTAAAGCTAACATAAAATAAATGATATTTTAGTTATTATATAAAAAAAGTAAAATAATCCTGATTCCATTAATTTATGATAATTTTCAGCTTAGAATAAAACCTTGAAATGTTTTACAATCCTGTAATTGTGTTTGTTATCACTTAAGAATTTTTATTTTATCGTAATAACTAAACACTTACCTAAGCGATAACTATATATTGCTAACTAGAAAAAACAATAATATAACACTTATCAACAATATCTATAGTTTGATTATCGTTAATTTTGAACCATAAATAATAACCGTAGATAATATTGAATGCTTAACGATTTAGGTGAGAAATACCTTAAAATCAATCCTTGTTCATTTGTATTTTATCCGTACATCTAATTGTCATAAAATTTTAGGTAGTTACTTACCAATGCTATAAAGAGAAGTTTGTAGAATCCCTTTTTTCATGCGAGCGAGGCCTCATGAAAACAGGAGGAGAAAAAAGCCAGTTACAAAAATCATGTTTTGAATTAAGAACATTGGTTTCTCCACGTTTGGATTTATAAATCTAAAAATGCATATTTCCACTTAAATTTGATGTGCCTGCCTTTGAGTATACCTATTTCAGACCCATTGATTTCACCTAATAGAACATGCTAGAGGTATTCTAATTTCGACCATAGTATTTTAAGATTTATGGCTCTACATTACTTCTTTACCATCCCGTTTGTCCAGCGTAGTACAGTAGGCTAAAACCTTCATTTTAAGGAGAGGTCTATGTCCAGCAGTGAATTTCTTCTTTTTACAAAGTAAGTAGGTTTTAAAAAATCAAATAAAAATAACATTCTTTGGTTTGCACCAAAGAATTGTCTTTACGTAATAATAGATTTATTTTAAGGAACTAAATCAGGATTTTACCGCCCAATTGATGTGAATCATACAGAAGCAGTGTATAATAAAAATAAGAAAATCCGAAGAAGAAGAACAGAATCCCAAAACCGATCAAACTATCGTGCAATAGGAGAGGCCTATGTCTAGCAGTGGACTGCGATAGGCTGATGATGAAACACAAGGGTGATTAAAGATATTATAATATCATATAATCATATATTATGTAAAGCTACGCGAGTGATTTTAGTGCATTCGTGTAACAAATCATTTTACGAATTGGCTCTGGTGAAATGAAACCCGTGATTGTTTCCACACGAAATAAAAAGCTACATACCATAAAAATACAGTCATCATCATCATCAGCGTTCAATAATAAATTTAATAGTCCACTACTGGGCATAGGCCTATTCTTAGAAATGAGATTTTTTCTTACTTTACCACAAGGAAAACTTGACGCAAACCCTTTGTTTTTTTTTTAGTAGCGCCGGCCCGCTCCTGTTGCGGGCTCCGTCTCAAATTTTTTTTTTTTTTTCCTCTCTTTAGGCGACGTCGCGGCTGGCCAAACTAATGCGGGTGGAGGGGAAACCCACCCCGTCCACCCACGGCCACACTCAGGGCGGCATGAGGCGAAGGTGAGCGCGCCTCCGCCGCCCGGTTCGCCGGCGGCGGATCGGGTCCGAGTGGAGGTCGTCCTCCCGGGCCTCCTCCGCCGCCTCCTTCTGCGAGATTACTTCCTCGCAGAAGGTTGCGACCGCGGTAAAACAACTGTCGCTACCGGCCATGGTGACACAAACCCTATACCAACCCTGGGGTTAGTATAGGGTTTGTGTCAAGTGTTCCTTCTCTTCTCTCTGCTATTGTACTGCGTAGTTTTTTCCCTTAGTCGGATCTTACGACACCCATGGGATGAATAGGGGTACCTAGTCATAATTAATCCTATAACTTGCTTTACAACTAATTGGAAGAAAAATATTTCAACAACTCATAAACTGTTAACCAATCTGTGGTCAGTAATGAACATTTAATGAAAGCAATTTATTTCAATAGAATATCGTATAAAATGGTTGCGGTGTCATGGCGCCTCGTCGCGGTCGTGCAGAGAACACAATTGGTTTGTTTGATGTTTATTGATTAATGGTCAGGTTTGCGCAACATAATACATTCTTTTTTATTGCAACAAAGAATAATAGAGAACTTATATGTGTTACTTCAAAGAACCACTTGAACTGACATTAAGTAGTAAGTACACACGTGTCAAAGTTAACATAATTTTAATAACAGTTTTTTTTTATTTATGTTATCAAGATGCCGCTTACACAGAGTACCTATCTATTATACATAACTAGCTTTCGATTTGCTTGCGTAATTTAATATTATTAATCATCATCAGCCTATCGCAGTCCACCGTTGGCCATAGGGCTCTCGAGTTGCACGCCATTTAGATATACCCTCGGCTTCTCGCATCCAGCTCTTGCCAGCCAGGTGATATCAAAAAGACTGCCATATTTGGAAAAATAAATAAATCATTTCCTCAAAAAAACGCAATATATTTTCAAATTATAAAGAAATGATTTATTTATTTTTCTAAATATGGCAATCTTTTTGATATCACCACTGGTGAGCCACTGCAATTCCATCGACACAGTAAAGACACTGAGTAAGTGTAGACTATTGATATTCATGCCGATGCCAATGGCCACTCGATGGCATCTCAATAGCGTGTCAGTGGTATGACAGTGGCTTGGCGTGAACATAAAATAGCAGAATTGAGGCCCTACACTGCGCTTGCTGAGACGCGATTTCCACTCACGAACTGATTTACCCAAACGGTTGTCGGTTCAGCTTGCTAATTTGAAACTAGTACTTAATAGTATTTTTACCATCCCTTTCGAACTTGATTGATGAAAGAAACCATAATTTCCTTCAGTGAGCTGTTATTAGTACACTGTTATCATTGCATTGATTGCCTTTGCTGTATCCCTGGCAGGGTGTAAGAAAAACAAAATGAAGTTAAACATAAAGTTTAAAAATTATAGAAGATAAATAAAGCAAAACATATATTACCCTTAATTTATAACGTAACAGAACTTAATTTGTTTTGTCATTTTTGCAAAAATTATTTAATTTTCGAATACAAAGGTAAAAATGTATATAATTTTACTTTATGGTTCCCAGTGGCAGGATTTGATATTTTTTATTCCGTTCTTAGCCTTAAAAACTTCCATTGTCTTCAGTAAAACCATGTTCTTTTAAAACATAATGAAACTAATTACGAAGAATTAGGAACTCAGTTTTAAACGAAACAATTTGCGTTAATAAGCCGACTTCATTGAGCGTACTTTACGTATAGTTACGAGTATTGTTAGTGTCTGACGTCACACATAAAGATACTACGTCTATGGATTATCCATATGACAGTATTATCTAAATAGAATCAATAAAACAAAATATCAATTACACCGGCTCGTTTTAACGCTATATTAGGTATGTAAGAGGGCTCGAACTTCGTTTTTTTCATGCTCTATGGGGCAATTAACAGTCGCGTCACCTGATGGGAAGTGACTACATACTACTACCCGCAGTGCTGTTCTCCTACGTAGTTAGCTCTCTTAGTCGACTCTTACGACTCCCACGGGATGAATCAGGGTGCTGGCACTCTGTATTCTTAATGTGTCACCATACCGTGATGTAAATGCAGTAAATGCATAAATGACGTGCATGAAGTAATGCATTGTTTATTCAACATTCTAAAAAATGTATGTATAGATTAACGAATATCCGCCTAAACCCAACCATTAAAGAAACATGTAAATGAGTTTAACCTTTATCAGCGTAATTACTGATGCTTGTTATCAAGAGATTGCGAGTGAGATTATAATGAACTCAGGATGCCGCCCGATAGATATTAACTCGGCTTGGCTGTAATTACCTACTGTTTGTGTTGACTGTGTGGTGGTAGATTAAGAACACAGAGTGTCACCACCACTAACTAAGCAGCACACACGCAAGACAACAGCACTGCATAGAGAAGGAAAACTTGAAACAAACGCTATACCAACCCGTTTTGTTGGCGTGGTATATTAAGCCAAAACCTCTTTTCTAAGGAGAGGACTATGTCCAGCAATAGACTATTAAAGGCTGTTGATGATGATGATGATGATTATAATGCTGATGATGTGTTGACTGGCCTTTCGGTATGTTGGTTAGTGATACTGACTGCAGAACCAGAGGTCGTGGGATCGATCCCCCTCTAAGACAAATAATTATGTTATGACTCATATGAGCACGATCATTTGTTGTGTTTCTGGGTGTAAGTTATCTATAATTATGTTTGAATTTAGAAATGAATTAAGCATGTTTATCAGCGGTCTAGTTACCATAGTTTATGCTCTATATTCATAATAATGTATTTAAGAAATGTATCAACAACTAAACTCGAGAAAATATTCTACTAAAAAAATATTTAAAACCTTTTCTTTCGAGCTAGAAGTTGATTATGCTTTTCTGTAACACCTGTGTAGGAGTATAATGATACATTATGTGTGCACAAATTCTTTAATCGTTACATACCTACCGTCTACTAATATCGCCACGAT